TGAAGATAGAGTGTCTTATGGAACCCAAGAACAATAAGGCAGGCGGACTTAAAGGAATAAACTGGAGCCTAGGGATTCAATTGCTATCTGGAGTCTCCATTTTCTTATCTCTGCATCTTTGTGTGTGTGTGTGTGTGCTTAATCTTTCATAGCAGACAAGCTTTTTCTCTTTCCTGGACCATATGGCATAAAAATGGCTGCTGCCAACAGCTTTGAAGTATACACTACTCAGCATAAGAAAGCAGCCAGAGTAGGCTGAAATATCTTAGTCTTGATTCCAAATTCCTGAGGAAGGACTATGGTAGACCCAGATTGGTCAACTGTGGCAAAAAGGTCACATAACCTGATAACTCTAGTAACATTGAGATGAATTGGTGGGAAGAGAATTTCTCAGAAGACGAATATTTATCGAAGGAGAATTGCAGGAGTATAATGCTAAGCATGAATTGAGATTCAGAGAATAGAAGGAGATAAGGCTGGAGAAGAGACAGGTTATAAAGAGTATTATGTAGCTTGAAGTGTATTCAGTAGGCACTGGAAGTAGGTTTGAAGTGTTTTTAAGCAAGGAGGAATTTAGTAAGTTTTGAATTTTAGATAACTTGTTTAAGAAGCAGTATGGAAGATGGTTTGGAGGAGAGGTAATAGTGAAGGCAAGGAGCCCAATTAGGAAGTTGTCAAAATAGTTCTAAAAAAAGATAAGGGCCTAAACTAAGGCAAAATTGGTGGCAGTGCAAGTGTAAAGGAAAGATGAATATGAGAAATATTTAGGAGATAGAATCAACAGGGCTTATTAATTTAATTAGATGTGGTGAGATAGGAGTTGTGAAAGAGAATCTAAGGTTACTTTCAAGTTTCTGGCTCAGGAGACAAGGCAAAGGGTTTTGCATACTCTTTATTCACTACTGTATACAATGCCAAATGTTATCCAGATATTGCCCACAATCTTTCCAATCTTCTCCTTGGAGTGGAGCTGACATTGTTCACTCAGGGACTGGAGGCAAACCTCAGAGGAGTTTTGCATATAGCACACATCTGACCCCTGGAAAAAACCAACAGTCAATTGACTGTTCCAAGTGATAGATGAAGTATTTTCATCCTCCATGATCCTTTTTCTTTATTTCACCTGGGCAGAAATGCAGCTGTAATTTCCTTTCACCTTATTTCAGATACAAAAGGTATACATTCCCTCCGTAATATATATATTATTCTACAATCTAGCAGAATTCCTAAATGAAGGCCTTTTAAGCAGGGGATATGGACATTCATACATTTATTGAGGGCTTACTATGTCCCAGGTACTATTCTAAGCACTGAAGATAGAAGAGTGAACAAAACAGACAAAAATCCCTGTACTCATGAAGCTTCCTTTTGAGTGATACAACTTACTACTTTGTGCATATATGCAGTTTATTTTTCAGGAAAAGGTACAGCAGTCTTGACATATCTCACATAAAATGATCATAATCTAGCCATTTAATCTGTTTCTCCAAGAAGGTGAAATTATTGTGTTATAATAACAGGGTCTCCCTTTGCTGAGGTTTTTGGGTATCTCCCTTAACAAGAAAGAAGAACATGGGTGAGTTGATGGGTGAGTGAATTCATCAGTTATAGTGGAGAATGTTTAAGGTTTGGAATGACAGCTGAGGAGAATTAGAGAGGGACTGACCAAGAAAAAATGAAAGGATTTCCAAGTTGTGCCAAGTAGTGAGATGAGAAACTAAATCTGTGGTGGCATCAATTTACATTAAAAGGTCAGAGTGATTTTATTCAGAAAAGCTGGAATGGAAACAGGGAACGAGGCTAGAGGGGATAAAGCATATTGATACACAGGGTTCAAGTATCTGGAATTCCAGGAATTACTCCAATAAAGGAGACCCCTTAAGTTATAGGTCCAGATGGAATCTCCAAGGAGCTTTCTCAGAAACTTTATCTAAAGTCTATCCCCAATCCGATATCCTCCCCTTCAAATATGTCTGTCAATTTATAGTATTTCATTTATGTTAATTATTATCTTGCTTTCTTGCATCCAGCTCTTTGGGGTTGGAGCACTGTCTAATATTTGTGCCAGATCCCGAAATCAGTACTAGTACATTGCCCTATTTTAGCCATCAGATATAGACCTTTTCCAAACTTTCTGGCATGGCATTAAAGGCATTTCACAGTTTGTCTCCAATCTACTTCTCTATACTCAACTCCATTACAGCTTATGCTGCTCAGCTCCTAAATACAGATATAGTATGTGTTAAGTCAAACTTTTCTACTTTCAATAAACATATCATGTACTTTCACATTTTCTTGACCTTTGAACATACTTTTTCCTTTGCATAGACTATACTTATTCCCTTCTGGAAAACTCCTACTCATCCATCAACACCCAAAGCAATGAATGCCACCTCTTCTGTGACTTTCTTATTTATTTAAGAAAGACTTTCTCATGGTCTGCTAGGTACCATCTACTGTGTCAACACCGAGTTGTTTTTGAAGAACTCACTGAACTGTAAAGGAAAATATAGGCGAGTAAAGGAGGAAAAGGCTGTTTTCTTCCCCTTCACTTCTTAGAGTGTCTTTTGTGGGGATATAGTGGACATGAATCCTTTCTCTAACTTTTGGAATGTAGGTAAATCATTCCAGGGACTAGCTCACTCTCCTGTTTTATTATGTAGACATGTTCCTAAAGTCATGAGAAATATTCCCCTTTGAAATGTAAAGACAGAATTAATGTGGGAGCACATCTCCAAGTGTAACTGTCTTCCAGGAAGATTCAAGGTATATTTTGGGGAGATAGAAGTTTTATTACTCTTTTGGAGGAATTCAATTAACTAGACAAATAGCCACCTCAATTCCCAAGTAAATTTTGTATTGTTTTACTGTATAAGTTGTGTGGAACTTTATCCTGACTTTGCAGTCTCTTAAGGGCTACCTATATGCATGTACTATGTTGTGCTTACTCAGTAATGAATGTTTTATTTCTTCCCGTATTGATGTGGCTAGGTCTCTTTGTTGATAGGAGTTTTTACTTTGCCAGCATTGTAGAGACAGATATATTGATGTGTACAAAAGGAGCTCAGATTTTATATTAAAACCTCAGGAAAAATGCTGAAAGAGTTTAAGTGCTGCAGTGACACAGTTCTGTATCTAGAATGGAAGAATTAAGGGTGAATATTTCTCTGTTTCACTGTAAATATAATAAATGTGTGCTATAAAATGTAATGAGTTCAATAAGTTAACAGAGAATAAAGATTTTATGTGACTTAATAAAGATTTAGAAGACCTAAGCAAATTGTGTTAGAAGTCTGTTGCTGTGATTTGTTGATGGCTCTTGGAAAAGGACAAACACTAAAGAATTATCTTCTTTTGAACCTGAAAGGCATGTCTATATCATATGAAAGGAAAGGTATGATCTGTGTGAGAACTCTATCCAAGCTCACTGCCATATTCACAGTTGTAATACATATTCCCTAACTTATAGTCTTCCCTGTTAATTAGTTTATCAATTTTTTTCAATCTGGTACTTCCGTTTAATTAGTCTTGGAGTGAGTCACTCTTTTTCACCTTTCCAATTGTTTTTCTCTTTCTTCAATATTTTCTGGCTGTCTGGTCCTCATAAAGTTGCAATTTAGTCTTATATTCCATTTGAGATTCCACTAATGTTTCATTAGCAATTCTTCTGTGGCCTCTCAAACTTCTTACACATGGTACAGCTATTTTTATACTTCCTAAAATGTTTAAAACTTTTATTAAATAAAAATCCAGAAGGGCACAATATGTTTGTAAATATGTTTATGCATTGTATTAAGTTCAAAATTGGTGACATTTTTAGTCATTACACATTATAGAAACTCTAAGCCCAATTTCAAAAAGATCAAGTAAATAAGCCCCCAGAAACCCACAATTTTTGTAACAGTCACTACCTACATGTCAGTTCTCAGTGTCAATAGTTTAAAATTAATGTGTAATTTGGGAAGGACCACTGGATACATGGTCACTAATTGGAGGGTTTATGTAGAATTCTTCCCCAAATGAACCTTGGGGAAATATATCTAAGCACTTTCTAGATCTAAATGTGTCTCAAAAACTGCAGGGAATGGTCTGTTGCTGGGTGACCAAGGGAGAGTGAAAAGTAGCTAAGGGCTAGAACAATACAGGCAAGATCTTAGAAGACCTTGAATGCTAAGCTAGGGAGTTTGTACTTTATTATAGGCAACAAGATCTACTGAAAAACAGCTCTAATTTTTACTGAGTGCTTACTCTGTGCCAGAGTAAGCTATGTATGTTAAATGCTTTACATGTACTCTCTCATTTAATCCTCATAACTAGTCTATAGGCACTATAATTATCCCCATGAGGAAACAGATTTAGAGAAGTTAAGCACCCTAGCTCAAGGAAACATAGCTACTCGGTGGTGGGGCAGAAATTAAAAATTGGCTCTAACTCCAAAGCCCATTCTCTAAACCAGTGGGAAGTGAGAATAGATCTATGTTTTACAAAAATTACTCTGGTAGAAATATGAGAACAGATTGCAGGGAGACAATCTAAAGGCAGAGACCAGGGAGGATGCTGTTACAGTAGTAGTCAAGAACTGTTAGGCCCTATTAAGGAGGCTGTCCTTAACAATCAGAGTTATGCAAACGAGTGACATTGTCAGGTAAGTTATTTAGAAAATTCCTCTGGAAGCCCTTGTGAAGTATGGATTGAAGGAAAGGAGACAATAAGTTAGGAGATTGTTGGGACTGTCACTCTCAACCATCAATGTGTTTGTGGAGGGGCCGGGAGACGGTCATAACCAAAATCCTTTGGCCTATTGCGATCTGCACAGCAGCCTAACCTCTCCCCACCTCACCCCTACCCTGACGTAGCCCCTTTCAGGCCCTAGGAAGTGGGCTTTTGCGCACTTTTCTAGGTCGCGCGGACTGAGCACCAACAGCGGCGCCAGCGGTGACGGCGTTCGCCAGCGGGGGTGGGGCGCATGCGCGCGGTTGCTAGGCAACGGCGGTCGGGGCGCCGCGGCTGTGTGTGTAGGCAGCCGCTCCAGAGAAGGAGGAGCACGAGGATGTCGCTGCGACCGCGGCCCCGAGAGGGAGCCGCTGCTGCTTTGTGGCCGCGGGGGCTGAGGGACGGGAATCAGGCCTCCCGGGGGTCGCGTCCCTGAGGGGACCGGGGGCGGCGGTCCCGCCCGAGCTCGGGCCTAGTACCCGGGGTGGGTCCGGGCCCTTGGGCGAGGGCCTCTCCCCCATTGCCTCCCCTCGCCCCTCCACGTCGATGGTGGTGAAGTTGGCAGCGCCAGGGAGTGCAAGGCACCAGGCTGCCTCCGTTGCACCCAGCTCCTTCTGGCGTGCGTCTCTCGTTCTGGCTCACGGACACCTGCGCCGCTGCCTCCTCTAGCCCGCTGAGCCCACCCCTGGCGGCGGGCGGGGGAGGGGCTTCCCCCTGCAGGGACTGTGTCGAACTGGGCAACGACGGGACCGTAGGAGAGTAGGGGTGAGTAGTGGTCCCGCACTCGCCCGGTGCTGGGGCGCCTTTTTGGCCTCCGGGGCCCCGGGAGGCGCCTGAACCGTTGCTTTCTCCTGCAGAAGGTTCTGATGCCTCTCCTACATCTGTTCGCGGCTTCCCATTCCCTTCGAGGTAGTCTTCCATCTAAAAAGCATCACTCTCTGGTCTCAACCCAGGCGTCTAGGAACGCGGGGTCGGTACTTAAGGCCTGGCTTTGCTTCTTAGATGCCATAGATGTTGATAATTCTACGTACCATCATGCAGCCTAGTCCCTGATTTGGAAACAGACGTTCCCAGAGCCATGCTCATCCCTTTTCCCTCACTCTTTCTCTCGTGAGGCTCAGCCTAACCGCATGCTTCTCAAGAGCCGATTCTCAGGCTGCTGTCGCTCCATGCCTTAAAGCTTGATAGGCAGCTAGCATGGCCCCTTACTTTTGTTTTTCTGCTACTCGTGTGCTGAGAGTTTTTAAAAGCTGTGTGCCTGGCTTCTGAGTCCTGATGTGTAAAAGTTAGGAAGACAGTACTTATATTAAATAATACTAATAAAACAAACTAGCAAACACAAACTCCACTTGATTTCCAAAGTGGAGTCAAACTTAAAGAGTAGTAGGGGAAGAGTGGCTGATTGATAACAGGCGAGACAGGTTTTACGAACTAACTACTCTTTATCCGGAATGACATACCTTTTTAAAAATAGATAATGATGAGGAAACCTGAAATGTCCCTAATAAAAACTAGGATGTGTTATGATCTATCTGTTCTTCCAGGGATAGCCTGTAGTCGAGAATAGTTGCTTCAAAAAGCATTTGACATGAGGGACCTGAAGTGATTTTTCTGGCAGGGTGATTCGATGAGGATATAAAGTTATAAGGTACTTCCTGAAAATTAGCAATATTATCTTTGAGGAGTGAAATTTCTGTAAAAGAAAATGGTTGAAAAAAGTTGCAGTTCACAGTTGATCCCTTTCAAAATAGACAATTTAGATTAACTAGTAATTTTGATTGTAAGGTACTTCTGTGTGCAGACAATGAAAGATGGGTTCCTTCTTTTATTTGGCTCCCTTCCCTCCCTGCTGGTTTTTAAGCCATTTCAGGTTTCTTTTATTCAAAAAAGAAGAAGTGAAGAAGAAGTGCAATAATGGGAAAGCTAAATTTAGTTTTGGGTAAAAGCTTTTAAGCTAAAGATTTTTTAAAAGGATATGGGATGACAATTTTGATTAGATAACTTTATCTAATGAATCAGTCAAGACTGATAACTGTGGTAGTTTTTGATAAAATGCTCTGCTTTAGAAGCTTTCACATTGTTTGAGGTTCTCTTGGGTATGGTTTAAAACACAATATAATTCTGGTATCACTTCAAAATCATCTTGGACCTCAATTAGTATTGTTTGTTTTGTGAATTGGCAAACTGACAGGCTTTTAGGTGCTAGATTCCAAAGTTTTTCTTTTGGAAAAGTTCTTGATGAATTCAAGTCTGAATTATTTGAAATAATAATGTACCATGTGGATGCTTGCTGTTCACTTTCACATACTTTTAGAACCAGGCAATAATTTGGATCCAGCTTAAAATTCTGTTGTAATGAGTATGGCTATGAAGGTGCCACATACGCAAGAGCATTTATCCAGATTGTCATAACCACATTATAAGATAATGTTAATAGTTCATTTTGCAAGGCACTTGACCAGTGAACTCTGGAATGAGTTAGGTTTTTTAAAATTGACTTTCAACAAGCTTTTACTTTCAAGCTTCATTAAAGTACTCATTACTATACTAGATGCTATGGAGAATAGAACAGAAACAGATTCCAGGAATTAAATTGCTTACCCATTGGAGAAAGAAAATAGATACATGAGACATTGCAATCAACAACTGAAACATAGAATAGTACAGAATAAGAACTAAAAGAATTAAGAGTAGAAGGAGATCTTTGAAGGCTGGTGTTCATCTAAGAAGGCATTATAGAGAAAGTCAGACTTGATTTGATAGAAGTGTAGGCTTTAATGGAAGGGCAGGAGTTCATACCATGACCTAAGGCACTTGATTTTCTAATCATTGTAAATATTACTCTCCTGGATAAACCTAAAAGAGGAGAGGACTATTGGTGGCAATTAACTGCATTATAGTGGGCATAGGTTTTTTTTTAAATAATAAATTACATACTAAATTATTAAATTAAATGTAAATAATTTTTCAAATGTATGTACTATAGAAATCAGACTTAAAATAATCATAGTATTTTTTGGGGCAAGTAAGAATGCTTTCTAAGCAGATATAGATAGATTATTAGGTTCACATATTTTTATAACCTGTAGATTTTCACTGTCTCTCAGGATGTTTAAAATCTGTGTTTTGTACAAGACTGTTCTGATTAGTACAATTTTAGATTATTAATACGCTCCAAATACTATTTCTTGATAAAGTAAATTAAGGAAATTCTATAAACAACATGAATTTTAGTCCATTAAAATATATGATAGCTTAGTTTTTAGTACTGCTAATTTGTACTGCTATTTCTATTATTTTCTGAAAACCAAGCAGGGTGTATTACAGTCCTGCAAATTGATGTCTAAGTTCTAAAATAATGTTATTAATAGCACATGTGTTAATAATTGGCAACTAACATCAGTGTTTAAACTGCAATTACAAACCTCTGCAAAACTTACAGTTTTTTTCTAACAACTGTCTGCAGTTTTGAGAATTAGTTATGTGACGAGTCTTCTGGATTTTTCTCAACCATTGTAAGTTGATGTTTTATATAAAAAATAATGGGAAAATATACTGCAATTGTTACATAAAAAAGAGGCATGCCCCTCTCCCCAACAGGAATTCACATATTAAAATTCTAAACACAAAGAATTCTTGAGGTAATTCACAAATTTACTCTAAGGAACAAAATACCCAAGCCTGAAATTTTTTGAGGCTTGTATAGACCATATTGTATTTTTCATTTGGTATCTTTTGCTACCAGCAATAGTATTCTCTGATTATAGTTATTACTAATCAACTTTAACTCAATGTAGCTAATAGTTTCAACAAATATAATTGTTTTGGGCATCCTCTGCTTAGGATATTAGCTGTTAGTTAAGTAAATAAGTTATTAATTAGACAACAGGATGATCCACACAGACACAGCCAGTGAATATCTGATCACTGTTGGAAATTAACCAGTTAACAGATAACAAAATATTTTCAGAAGACATTGGGGTTAGTCTCCTTTGCTAAGCATTATTGCACGTTTCTGTTCTTAGCTGCTTATGTGGTATCAAAAGGAAAGATATTTGGTAAGAGAACTGGTGAATTCAAATGATGGGGAGACTGTTGAGAAAATTAAAATTTCCTTATGTATGTCAAGTTCTAAGTATTATGGTGGTTTAAGGCAGGTACACATCTTAGGTGTATTGTTAAATCTGACTGGTAGCAGCATATGAAATAGGGTAAGGAATTGTCCGTTTTGTTACTAAATAATAGGTAACTCAGTATTTTTACCACCGTATTACTGAGTCTGAAGGTAGAGCAGCATTACACTGAGTATCAATGATATATCTGTAAGTTATAATTTTCTTTACATATGTATTTTTAAAGGTGTTATCATGTGTCTTAAATATGATCTTTATTATGTCAATGGATTGAAAAATTTCCCAGCTGAGTACATCTCTAGATTTTATTGTAGAAGTTTATGGGAAGAAAATGGCTTTTACCCAACAATTATTTTTGGAACATATTTTCTGGAGCATAACCTTTTTAATTAAGTGGAAAATGTAGGAAGAAAAGTGGAGAGTAGAATTCCTTCTTAAAGTGTGGTACCTATAAACAAAATAAAACAAAACCTTCATATATGAGATAAAAACTAATATTTACAGGAACTGTCTCATACACAGTTATCATTCTCTTAATATTCCCATCTTATGTTATGAATTGTTAACTCTCCTTGGACTGTTGACACCCAAAAGTTTCCCTGTGGTCTAATTCATTCCTATTTTCCTAATGACAAATGTACCTCAGGGATTTGATGGTGAGACTGTTACTGAAAAAGAAGCTTTTTTGTAGCAATTTGAAAATGCAATAAATATTAACTGAAAAACCTGAAATAGAATTTTGATATAATTAATAATGAGGAAAATGGACATTTTCTAACAATCTTCATTAAAACTGTTATACAGTATTAGTATCTCTGTAACCTTTCACAATTCTGAATTATATGGGTCCTCATTACGTTCACTTTCTATATCTTTTTTCCACTTTTCCTAACCACTGTGGATATTGGTTTGTTTTGTTAGTTCTGAGCTACTTCTGTGGCCCCTAAATGAGTTTTATAAAATATATTTATATTTTTAAAAAGTTATCCAGGAAAGATTTTCTGTCATAGTCTCAAAAACTGGATCCATATCAGATAAACTGCATTTGAAACCAGTTGATATGACTGGAAGTAGCAACAAGAAGAGTAGCCCAAGTTATTTTAAAATACTGTATCTATCTCAGGCAACTTTTGCGTCACTAGATTTTTACTTCAAAAATAATTTTCTTTATTGTAAGAAGGAAAAAGTCAGAAGTTAGTTACTTCTGGAATAAAAGTGTGGATCATTTCATTCAGATTGATTCAGAGTTCTTCACTACATTTTTATCATCTAAACTGTGTGTGTATATATATACACATACATACTTATTTTTTTAAAAAATTGAATAAAAAGGAATATCTTCCCTATTTTTCCATTCTGTCTTATTGTTAGACTTTATACAGTGTCTTTCAACTGAGGAATTCAAAGCATTCTTTTTACATTCTGTGACATTTCTTACCATCCACCTGAAATTACTTTTCTTTTTCTTTTTCTTTCAAATTGAAAACTAGTTGACATATCAGATGTGACACAAGTAATAAGTTTTATTCCTCAGGTCATATGTAAGCCAGTCTTATTAGTTTCATTACTTATTAGTTGCTCTTTGCCCTTTACAGGGCTGGGCATATATCATATACTAATTCATTTAATTGT